CCAGGCAATAACCCGAGTCAAGGTATGAACTCTGAGGGAGGACAGAGGAGATCTCACAGAGGTTGGGACATAGTGTCTGTCCAGGAAGATCTCTGGGGGGCATGGGGATGCGTAGCGAGTCCCGACTTCAGGTTCTGGGTCTCAGAGAGTCAGGAGGTCTGGTGTAAGGAGCAGGGTCTCTAGTTGGCAGGCGCGGGGGGGAGGGGGGAGGAGCGCCCAGGTTCTGTCAGGAGTCAAGGTGAGAACCAGAGGGAGGACTGAGGGACCCTGGACCCAGTAGGGAATCAGTCCTGGGAGGCCCCAGGGTGGGACAACGATGACATGAGGCATGTCCTGACTTCTGCTCTGGGTCCCAGAGACACTGAGAGCTTGTTGTAAGGAGTGGCCCTCAGGAGCATGGATGAGGGCACAGGCCATCCAGGGAGTCCAGATGGGGAAGAGAGGATAGGGCTGAGGGACCCGAAGGAACCCCTCTCAGGGAATCCCTGGACTTTGTAGCGTGATGTGACGTCCACAGTCTTTTCCCATGGCTCTCAGGGCAGTGAGGCTTTGGTCTGAGGCAACAGGCCTGGAGACAGCAGAGAGAGGATCACCAGATGTGCTGCGGCTCATGTTGAGATCCCTGAGGGAGGACTCAGGGAGGGACCTGGACTCCAGAACAGGGACAACGCACTGAAGCCTGCCCCTGCTGTCAGCCCTGGGAGGCCTGTTTGTGCCAAGTCCACAGGCAGTGTGTCAGGACGTCCGCATCCAGTTCTGACAGAGGCTGGGTGCCTGGTTTACAAAACGGGAGTCAGGAGCTAATGGGACTGGATGTGAGGACCCGGCGGGAGGACATGAGTGACCCTGGACCCCAGAACAGAGTCAGTCCTGGGAGGCCCCTGAGCGGGAGGAGGACGAGTGGCGCGTTGAGACATCCACATCCGGGTCTCAGAGAGGCTGGGGGTTGGGGTAAGAGGCGGATCCTCAGGTCAGCAGCAGGGAGGGCTCAGATCCTGCTGGAATCCAGGTGAGAACACTCAGGAAGAACTGAGGGGACCCTGGACCCCAGAACAGAGTCATCGATGGGAGGCCCTTGAGCAGCTGTCCGCCTGAGTCGCACCTCCGAATTTGGCCTTGGATCTCAGGGACGTGCGGGGCGGTCAGAGGGGAAAGGACTCGGGACAGCAGAGGGCAGGGCCCCAGGTCTTGTTGGAGTCCAGGAGGGATGCAGGCTGAGAGCTGAAGACCGTAGAGCCTGAAACAGACAATGATTTTGTTGCCCTTGGGCTCCTTCCATGTCCCCCAAGGTGGGGGGAGCAGCTGAAGTGTTTCCTGACTTCTGCACCCAGAGTCTGAAGGAGGTGAGCCTTGGTCTGAGGAGTGTGGCCTCAGGTCAGCAGAGGGTGGAGTCCCAAGACCCTGAGGGAGGACTGAGGAGACACCCACCCAGACATAGGTGTCCCAAATGAAGTCCTGCCCCGGTGGTCAGTCCTGCGAGGCCAGGCCAGGTGTCAAGAAAAGTAAGCGCCCCACTTTCTCCTCTGGGTCTCACAAAGATGGTGGCCTTGGCCTGCAGGATGCATCCTGTGGTTAGAAGAAGGAAGAGTTCCAGGTTCTGCTCAAAGTAAACATGAGCACCTTGAGGACAAAGAGTGGACCCCCGCCCCAGGACAGAGGGGCCAACCCCATTCTAAGCTCTTCGTGAATTGGGAGGGCTGCAGGGGAGGGCGTGGATTGTTGTCTCCTCACCCTCCTCTCGGAGCTCTCAGGGAGGTGAGGACCATGCTGGGAGAGGTCAGGGTCAGGTCATCTGAGGAAGCCCACCTGGGAGACACACAGGAATCCCTGCTCCTGCCAAGAGTCAATGTGGGAACCCCTAAGGGAGGAGTGAGTGGCTCCCAACCCACCCCTCGGGATAAGGAGGGGATGGCCCAGAAATCTGTACAGCCCCTACCAGGCAGCCCTGGGAACGCTGGCTGGGGCCTGTCAGGCTGAGCCCCTCCTCCTTTCCAGATCCCTGGTCTCAGGGAAGGAAGGGTCTGGGCCTGAAGGTCTGGACTCAGGTAGCAGAGAAGGCAGGTGCCCTGGCTCTGGCTCTGGCCCTGATTGTTGGGGGGAGATGAGAAATGAGGGGATGCCTCCCACAGCAGGATCCTCAGGGCCCAGGCCTACCCTGCCGCTTCTGTC